TTTGGTTTACAGGTGGGCACACAGAAGCTTGGGGTAGGAGACGCTTGGCTTTGGGGACTAAGCAAGTCACTAGCAACCACCTCTCAACTTCCAAATCCCAGTTCTCTTTCTGAGATTTGGCCGTGCCCCTGTATGGCTCCCTGGCCAGAGTGGATGGGAGGGTCCACCATGCCCCACTAATGATCAGCAGCTCCAGGAGTCTGCTGGATGATTTAGCTTTAACCCTAAACCCCTGGCGTCACTTTGGGTTTGCAGAGCCTGATTCCTCATAGCTTACTGCTCGGGCCTCAGGTTTTGTCATCTGTTAAATGGGAGCAATGATTATGCTATGGGCCTTGACATCTAGTGAGTACTCAAGAATTGTTGGCTGTCTTTAAAATCCTGGAAAAGTCTCCCTCCCTCTGTCTTATCCCTGCTCACTACTAATACATTTAGGACTCTGCATTTGCCTGCCCAGGTGGCATAGTGGGTTACACATTGGGCTATACTAACCACAAGGTCAGCAGTTCAAAGTCTCCAACCACTCCAAGGGAGAAAGAGTTACAGTCTCAGAACCCCAAGTGGGCAGTTCTACCTTGTCTGTAGGCCCACTAAGAGACAGAATTGGCTCCATGGCAGTGAATGTGAGAGATATGGCTTGAGAGTGGGCTCAGCAGTATCTGTCCTTTTGCGAGTGGCTTGCTGCTGCACTCAGTGGGACGTTTATGGTGTATTTCCAACAAATACTGGTGATGGTTGCCCAGCCCCATTTCAGGGAATCAGTGCCAGTGGTTGTACGTGTACAAATGTTGAATTTGCTGGATTTCATATCTAATAAAAACTTTCAATAAAAAATATATTTAACAGTTTCCTTTTATTTTGATTAAAAAATTGTTTTATGATAAAACAATTAAATTGAATTTGGCAAATGTGTTCTATATTTTACAGTATATCTAATAAAAATTTTTTAAATGTTAAATGTTAAATTTATTTTAATTCAAATTTGTTTCTCTTATTGGAAAATAAGAAATAGGATTTCATTTGGCAAGTGTATTAGATATATTTACAATGTACCTAATGAAAAAGTTTAAAACTAAAACTTAATTTAACAGTTTATTTTTATTTAATTTTAAAATGTGCTTATATTATGAAAAACACTAAAAAGTTGAATTTGGCATATGTGTTAGATATATTTTTACAGTATATCAAATAAAAACATTTAAATAAAGTGTTACATTTATTTTATCCTGATTGAAATTTGCTTTAACCATTAAAAACAGTAAAACTACTACATGTGGTAAACATGTTAGAAATATTTTTGCAATATATGTAATAAAATATTTAAATAAAACATTTTATTTTTCTTTTAATTAAACTATCTTCTATTATTAGAAAGCAACTAAAAGGCTAAATTTGGCAAGTCCTGTGTTAGGTGCATTTCTGAGGCGTGTTGTTATTACTCCGGGCTGTCAAGTCCATTTGGACTCATAGCGACCAGTTGTATAAGAGAGCCAAGCACCCCTGGGCCTGCTCAGCCTCACAGCTGTTATGCTGGAGCCATGATTGCAGCCACCACGGCCATCCATCCGGAAGGGCGGTCCTCTGTCTCACTGCCCCTCCCCTTTACCAAGCACAATGGCCTTCTCCAGGCACTGGTCTCTCCAAAGTCCCGGTACATGAGACGAACTCTCACCATTGTTGCCCCCACGGAACACTCTGGCTGTACTTCTTCCAAGACAGGTTTGTTGGTTCTCCTGACAGCCCGTTGGACTTTCAGTATCCTTCGCCAACACCATAACTCATATGCATGAAGTCCTTATTTTAATTACAAATGGGTTTTTAATTTAAAATAAATAAATAAATAAATAGTGTTGCACCCGGGAAACATGGTGTTAAAGTTTATAACGTACATAATTTAGGATTTTTTTAAAGAACATTTTTCCAATTAATCATTTCTTTTCATTTTAATTAAAAATGCATTTGTAGTTTTAAGAAATCAATTTTAAACAAGTGTTCATGGTGAAGGTGGGATGCTGAGCCCGAGCAGAACCTGGGAATCTCTGTTCCAGCTTCCTCTTGCAGGGCCCCAGCTAACCGCAGCCTGGCCGGATGTCGTTTCAGGTTATAGTGCCTCCTTTAGATTTCTGGGCACCTGGGCAGTTGGTGTTATTTTCCCAAGTGACATTGAACGCATTATCCGGAGAACAAAACCCCTTTCAAGGTCGGGTTGCCCAGTGAGTCACTGGGACAGCCCAAGAGAGGAAAGACCTAGTGCTTTGGCTGGAATTCCATCCTGAGGACCTTGCCAAGTGTACTGATTTGGGTGCAAGGGGGGAAAAAGATGGTCCTCTTTCACCCTGGAGCCCACAACTTATTGGGTGTGTAGCAGGCAGAAGCTGTTTCTAAGCCTAGGAGTTAAAAGCATACGCGATCTTACCTTCACCTCCCCGCCCAAGCCCATGCCGCCCCGCCCCACTCCCATCGCGCTCCTCTCTTGAAACAAGCGGATGCTCCCCTTCACTTTCACAGCAGCTCCCCTCTCATTCCCCAGAGGGGTAGGCCACACCTCCAAGGTCCCCAGCCAGAGGAGGAAGGATCCAGATCTTTTCCCACCACCCCCTCCCGGTGACAGAAGACAATCCTACCTGCTCTGTGGAATTTATCATTTTCTTTTCTGGATGGAAAAACGGCGGCCCAGGGACGTGGATGACCTGCCCAAGTCTTACGGTTGGAAAGTGCCTGGAATTCCTGCAACATTGACATTGCTGAGGGAGACAGAGCAGCAAAGTGAAAGTCAAGGTTAAAATGCAAATCTGCATGGTTCCCTTGGCTTGGCTGGCAGAGATGGAACTCCTGGTGCCAAATGCCCTAGGGCAGGGCTGTGTCCTGCTGGACTTCACCCCCCAAGCACCAGTGACCAATGGCTCTTTACCAGACTACTTTCTTGGCTGGCTCATCTCACCCACTCTCAGTATTGCACTCAGACCTGACGTTAAATCAGCGTGTCTTTTCATGAAAAGGAAAAGTAACTCTACGTGAACGGCCTGTGTATCCCTTGGTCAAAAAAATAAAAGAAACAAAACCACAAAAACAAACACAAGGAAAATCAAACATTTGCAAATGTTTACGAGAGTCTGTTGCCTGCCTGCCTGTTTGCCTGCCTGCCCGTCTACTTTAGCTTTTCCAAAAGGGGAAGTTTGGCAGTTGCTGGGGAAAGTCTTTTAGACCTATTGGCTCCGATGGAGCTTTTCTCCTCCATGATGTTAAGAGAAGGATTGAAGGAGAGAGGAAAAAAATCACTCCCATATTCTTATCATTCGGTGATGCGTAAAGCATAACAATTTTTTTTCCTTCTTTTTTTTATTTATTTTTTAATCATTTTATTAGGGGCTCATAAAACTCTTATCACAATCCATACATACATCAATTGTGTAAAGCACATTTGTACATTCATTGCCCGGATTCTTCTTCTTTTTTTTTTTTAACATTCCACCAGGGGCTCACACAACTGTTATCCCAATCCATACACACATCAATTGTGTAAAGCGCATTTGTACCTCAGAAAATTCCACAAGTAAAATATTTACTGATTGGAAGAAATAAAGAGAATGGCCAAGAAACACAGGTATGTATGTGTGTGTGTGTGTGTGTGTGTATTCACTCACTCACTCGCTGTCATCCAGTCCATTCCAACTCATAGCAACACCAGAGGACAGAGTAGAACTGGCCCTGTGGGTGGGGTCCAAGGCTATAACTCTCTATACGAGTAGAAAGCCACCAGCCTTCAGAAAGTCTTTCTACCAGTGTGTGAATTAGGGGTGCAAGTCAGGGTAGGGGAGTGGGAAAGGTGCCCTCTTTGGACAGTACAAGGCTTGATGGGCCAAGAGGATTGAGGTAAGTAGTTTATTGTGCCAACCTGGCTGATAAACACAGGTGGGGTTAACAGAAGGGGCGAGGGATAAATGGCTCAGTGAGCCTTGCCTTTCTAGTTCTCGGGTCTCTTGCTTTCTGATGGTCGCACCAGGGTGCAGCTGCCTTAGCCAGTTCCCTGCTTTAGTTGGCAAGGCTCACTTCCTGCAAGACATCCCTGAGGAGAAGCCGCATGGACCTACCCCGATGTAGCCCTGGGTGCTGGAGCAGCCGTGTGGAGACCCCTGCCAGCGCTGAGATGCTTACACATTCACTGACTCAGCTTGCCTCCTGCAGTCGGCATCATTGCCTCTGTTTTGTGAGATGGAGGAGGAATTTCTGGATTGGTGTTGGACATATGGGTTAATGGGTTAATGTTGGACTTGGGCAGCACTGGGTTGGGATGTTTTCTTGATGAGCACTTAACCTTTATATAAAACTCTCTCTTATACATGAGTTTCTGTGGATTTGTTTCTCTAAAGTACCCAGACTATTACAAGGATGAAAGAATGAATGCACTAAAGAAAGGATAAAGCTTAAGGGGGGTCCTGTGTGAACTGGTGGTCTTGTCATGCTATCAGAGAGTAGGGTAGGGGTGGGTGCCCAGGTGTGTCAAGTACTGGCACTTTTAGGATTGGGGGGGTTGCCCTTCCAGAATTTGGTAGGCCAAAATTCCCCTATCCCCACTTATATTTCTCCAACCGTCATGTGGGCGACCCAGGTTTGCGTCTAGCCCAAACAGCCCATGCATAGCCGTCACCCAGGAGCTTGTGGATTGTTATGATCCTGGTTGGGTATCAGTGGAGCTCCCAGGCTATGACTAGGCAGAAAGGTCTGCTGATCTCTTTTCAAAGCTCAGCTAGTGAAGCCTTAGGGATCCCAACAGTCTGATCCCCTGCCCATCTTGAGGATAGGCGCAGGACTGGGTAGTATTTCATTCCATTGTGCGCACCAAGTGGGGACTGACTTGATATTGCAACCCCCGACTGACAGGTCAGACCTGTTCATGCTGATGACAGGGGGTCTGAACCCAGGGCCTGCTGCCTGGTAGTGAGGGATACCTCCTCCAGCCGCCACAGCCTCCGCCACTCACCTTGCCAATTGATCACTAGGTGACAGACATGACCTGATTGTGAGCAGCATGTGGGCAGCTCTGGGGCTGTCCCTGACCAGCATCTCAGCCCTCAGCCTGGTCTCCCCTGCCTGGTTTCAGACTCCCACCTTCTCCTTTGGCGTCCTCACCTACTGCTCCTGGACACAGGGTAGTCAGAGCTGTGAAACCTTTGCATCCCTGAATAATATTCCTGACAATACCTGGAAGGTAAGACCGGGGGCTCATCAGGTCACAGGGTCCTGAGGGCATGGTCAAACCCACGCAGGGCAGAGTGGGACCCTAGGGTCCTTTCCTCAGGGGTCCTGTGCCAATGAGCCCACCGTTTACCTCCCCTTAAATTCTTCTCTTCTAAGTACAGAGATTCTTTTAGAAAGACAAGGACTTTCACTCCGATACCCACAGAGACAGTTCTACCCTGTCACACTATAGGGTGGCTTGAGTCAGAACTGGCTCAATGACAGTAGAAACGAAACTTTTTATTTTTATTGTGTTTCAGATGAGTGTTTACAAAGCCAATTGGCTTTCTGTCCAGCAATCCTCCATTAGGTGGGGTTCTCTGGAGAAGCAAAGCCAGTGACACTCAGATGTATTGACGTATATAAAGAGATTTGTATCAAGCAATGACTTATGCAGCTGCAGAGAGAGGTAAGTCCGGTCGAGTTCAAGGCAGGCTTCTCCTACCTTGTGGGGGCTGATGAACAGGAAACGCAAAGATGAAGCAGAGACAGTGGGGTTGGGTGGGGGTCGGGGGGCAGGCAGACACAAGCTGGTGGGTGCAGAGGTCCAAAATCAGTGGAACGAATCCACCAGCAGCAATCTGCGGATGCTCCTGGGATTGGTGGGCACACAACAGGAGACCAAGGGACCAGACCCAAGACCCAGCTCAGGCAGAAGGCAAAAAATCAAAGAGGATTCCGCTCTACAAGGTCTCTCTCTCTTACCCAAAAGGCTTATGAGCCCAAGGAGGTGAAATCAGGCTGCCACTCTTACCCTTCCCCAGTGACACAATCCCTAACCATCACAACTCCAGATGCATTTTGTTTCATATTAAAAGAGAAGGATTAATAAATAAATAAGAAACGAATAAAAGAGGAGGATTCAAGGAGATTTGAAAGAGAAATAACTCCAACACCCTATGATTGCACCATTAAACCCCACTGCCATTGACTCAATTCTGACTTCTAATAACACTATATAGGGTATCTGAGACTTTAAATCTTGATGAAACAAGCAGCTTCATCTTTCTCTTTTGCAATGGCTGTGGCTTAAACAACAACTTTTTTTGTTTTGGTTTTTTTTGGGTTTTTTTAAATCATTTCATTGGGGGTTCATACAACTCTTATCACAATCCATCAATTGTATAAAGCACATTTGTACATTCATTACCCTCATCAGTCTCTAAACATTTGCTCTCCACTTAAGCCCCTGGCATCAGCTCCTCATTTTTCACCTTCCCTCCCTGTTCCCCCCTCCCTCATGAGCCCTTGATAATTTATAAATTATTATTTTGTCATATCTTACACTGTCTGACGTCTCCCTTC